TATTATTATTATTATTATTATTATTATTTTTGTTTCCTCCTAGGAGAAGAAGCAACGTGGTTACAAATACGAATGACGTGGGAATAAGTTTTCTTCTGTCAAATTCCGCATGGAGCTAGAGTTCTACGCTACCATCCGATGAGACTTGACAAAAAATTTGTTTTTAGCTTCTTACATTTGTCATAGATAAGATTAAATGTAACCACTAATGACTAATCCCTTTATTTGTTATATTTTATTTATTCCAATTGCCTATGCATCACATGGAAATCTTAGGATTTCTTTACATCAAACTGCCTCTTAAGAGTCATGAGAAGAAGAAGAGGAAGAAGAGAAAACAGAAGGACCTAGCTGGAGCTTACAAGTAATTAAACTAAAGTTCATTTAGTTAAAGTCAGGGGAAGAAAACATGTTTATGGCACCATTCCAAATTGACTGCCCCCTCGAATTGCACAATGGCAATTTGGTCTCCTCCGACGACCCTAAAGCAGGCAAAACACTGGTGTTGGAAGGACATGTAAAAGGGTTATTGTGCATTCCATTGGCCAAGCTTGAATGGATTTTCTTTTCTATTGTATTTCACCCTTCTCTTTTCAAGCATGCCAAAAATTATCCTGGTTTTGTAATATGTGGTTTGAGCCCAATTAATTTACCGTGGCTTGTGCATTTTTGTACCCAATATTTCATAGCTGCCTTATTTTGAAGGACGATTCATTGAGGGAGAGAAGTACTTTCCTTTTGAAAATGAATCGATGTGCAACTCCGACTATCATTTCAAAGGTAAACATAAATGCATGGTAATATAAGGATGGATAACAATTGTCGTGTCCGTGATATTTGAATTCAGGATTACTTTGAATGAAGTGGAGACTGTTATTAGACCAACTACCATTGACATACGATGTAATAGCAATATGAGGCCAATATACTTCACTGTAGAGGCAATATTAGAGCAATATAAGTACAATACCATAGCTATATTATCACAATATACTTCATATAGGGTGGCAATATACATACACTATGTATACAATACAAAGGCAATATGAAGCAATATACATGCAATATAACAGCAATATTAAGTGAATCTACATACAATACACACACATCCATTACAGACTACATTTTACACATGCAAACCAAATCGCCTCCGAACCTTAACAATCCTATTCCGCGAAGGAAAAACGAAGGCACCAAAAGATCCATGTACTCGGTTGACATGAACTATAGCAGCACTCACCAGGTCCTGAAAAGATCCATGTCTTTGTGCTTTCTCCTCGCTGCATGCACGAGGCTATGATGAGCCATTCCCTCAGCACCCATATTTAGCACCTGCCACACACCAGCTACATCAATTTCACTCCAATTGTAGTCTGGTGAGACGACCGAAGCATAATCTCGGAACATTTCGAAGCCGTTGTTGAATCATTCAACCATTTCATGGTTATATTCTTCAGATTTTGTGAATTGTTCGACGGCATTTTTCTTTCTCTCTTCCAATTGCAACTTCAACGACTCTAACTCTTTGCTCCGACTCTTTGCTTTTAGAGTTTACTTCACTTCTCTAGCATATGCTTTGTTCAACTTGTTGGCCAAGTTGCCCATAACTTGGCCATGAATATCACATTTAGTCTCCCACCAATCTGTTGCCTTAGACAAATATTGGAGGTCGTGCTTGACGGCAAAGATTTTGTCAAGCGGATCATTGCTCTCAGCCTCACTTCCAGATGAAGTGGGATCATGATTGGGAGTCGGAGGTGGAGATGGGAATGGCACATGCCATGGCTGGTCCCTCGGGAAACTGCCATGCTCGTTTGGAGGGCGTACATCCGACATCTTGAACTATTGATGGGGACAATTCACAACTGGAGACTGAAAGTTTGCATTTGAGTACGACTCATTACCTTTCTGAGGTTGAAGAAGTTGGCTAAGTTGCAATTATTTATAGGAAGGTTGAGTTATATGGAGGAATTGATATGAAGTATATTGGGTATTTAGGTGGTGCAATCAATTGATGGGATTGCAAACTAGACCATTAACTCGTTGGCTGTAATTTACAGCAGTAGAGCATTACATTAACAACAATAAAATGGGCTGACAAACGGATAAAAGCAAACCTTAATAGGAAATTGGAAATTGTGGATTTGAACCCAAA